AAATGTCACACACTTATATACATATCAGTTCTCTGCTGGATTTTTAAATTTTTTTTATCAAGTAGCATGATTTTTTTCTGGACAGATGTTAATACCAGGTCTTAACGTGGTCTTAGTGGTCTGAGGGATCAAATCTCAACTACATTGATATTGTGTTTTGGGTGCATTACACCTGTAATTAAAGCCGTCCACTTGTGATCAGATTACCCCAGACGAATGTTACTACCAGGTCTGACTGGGGCCTATGTGTGACCAGAGCTGCTTTCAGACATGCACCGAACACCACACTTTCTCTAGAGAAGGAGCGTGTGTGAACACAAATGTCCGAGTGAGAGTCTCCGGATTATGTGCAGACTCTCCCTGCCTCCCTAGTATAAAGTCAGCAGAAAGTCCGGAGAATCTGATGTGAGAAGACAGCAGAGGATTCCCGCTGGATTCACTGCGAGTGAGTGTGGGGTTGATGATGCTTCGAACACGAGTCACGAAACAATGAAAAAAAACCAAACAAAAACATATCTCTGGATGAAAAACTGGTGTCAGAAGACACAGATGAAGATATTTAGAGAGTTCGAGGCGATAGAAAAAGACAAGTGGCCAATTGAGTTAACATCACAGGTGTTACTTCTCACGCTGTGTGTCGTTTTATTGAATAGATACCTCAAAGAATTGTAGGTGTGTTGTTTTCAGCTGATGTGTTTTCCCCATGCTGTTGAATCACTTTGGAAGATTCAATGCTAATCAAATCTTTATTTATTATTTAAAATTCTGTAGTGTCCCCAGCTACAGTGGAGCCAACAACTGGCTGAAGTAAGGGCCCTGTGTGTAGGGTGAGGAGAGATAAGGAAGACGGAGAGAGGAAAAGAATGGGGTGGAGTGGGGAGTGAGGGTGTTGTCAGGGGAATAATAGAATGCCTCAGAGGCCCTCATAGACACTGGGCAGCAGGACAGGGGGAGGAAAATGGTGTCGAAGGGAGGAATAAGAGGTTAAGCCAGTGAGAGAAGCAGAGAGAGGAACAGCAGGGGAGTTGGGTGAGAGAAGTGGAAAATACCTTAAGGGTGAACTGCTGATTTCAAGCCAGGCCCACAGAGGGGCTTGTGGTGATGACACACCTTTTTGACTAAGCCTTTACTCACCCACCAATCTTTGCATCAGCTTGTGTGAATATGAATGTGCACAGCGGTAGCTCAGTGATAAATCTGACCGCTTGGATCTGCGATTTCTACTCTGTAGCTTATCACTGATTCAGCTCTCTTATCTCTGAGTCCCATTGATCATTAATGTTAAGCAGCCTAAGTAGGGAGCTGTGTTCATTCTGCTGAGACAGTTGCATGAATATCTTTTGGCATAGATGTGTTTTTGTGTGTTGTTGACTGTTGGTCAAAGGTTATGAGTTGTGTCCTTGAAGTGTATGTGGTTATTGAGGGGAAAGGTTTCCCACAGGACATATCCAGCTGCAGTGGATTGTCCCTGCAGCCCTTCATCAAGCTGAGTGTTTGTTAGCACCAGAAGAAATGACCGGCTGGATGGATGGCTGAAGAAAGGGCACAGTCACCACATTAATTCCCCTTCCCTCTGCCATCTGAGATGCTGTGTTGCACATCAAAGGTGGAGTGGGATGGTGTTAATCCAGGGGCTGTAGCAAGCTCTCCACTCTGCTGTGCTGTACTCAACCCGCCACTCTTCCCCCAGCTGTGGCCCCCAGCTTTTTTCGAAGTGTGATCAAAGTGCAGTTTGTCTCTGATCGATGGCGCACTCTGGCCCACAAGTTATCTGACATGGTACCAGGAAGTGGAAGGGAGTGTGACAAAGTATCTCTCTGCATCCTGCGTACATGTATTTGTATCTAGAAGTACCATCTTTCTATAATTATTTAATAATCAGAGCTCCCTGGCTTTGACAGAGCTCTCCAGGTGGATAACATATACACATCTGAACAAGCCATGAGTCATGTATTCACATTAGGAACTGTTTAAAAGCACATACAATTGGGTTTCTCAATCAAAACATTAACAAAAGTAGGGCACTCGGTAAGTCACCTGGCTAGGTATGCACCCCACATACTGAGGCTTGAGTCCTCTGCAGCAGCCACAAGTTTGTGCTCCAAATTGGGTCCCTTTGCTTTGTATCTTCCCCTGGTTGCTTATTTGTCCTATCAATAAAGGAAAAATAGCCAAAAATGTTCTTAAAAACTAAAGAATGCTTGGTGACATTAAGTAGTATAAGATCTCAGGCATCGTCTTCACCACTGTCAACTTCTCCTAGTAAGAATTCTTTCTATGCCGAATTATCTGCAGAAGTCTCCACCACTTCAAAACAAACATGACCCAGTTATCAAAACCAGAAAAACGCTCCGCAGTTTCTGTGGACCTTCTCTGCCTGGTGTGATGTCCATAGAAATCCAGGAGAAGTCGATGTGTGAACACAGCAGCCCCCCACTGCAAGCGAGTGGGGGGTTGATGGCACTTCTTACACCTGACAGATGCAAAAAAAGAAAAAACTAAACTAATACCAGAAAACTAATATCTCCCGTACACACAGAAGACACAGACAAAGATGTCAAAAGAGTTTGTGGTGATAAGAGCTGACGCCAGTGTCTGTTTGTTGCAAAGAAAATCACGTGATCTCTGCAGCGGAGTTGATGCATCACTTACTGCCTCTGTCTGCTATACCTGTCGGCTGCTAATATGTTCCTTTACAGTTTTGTATTATCCAATATTTTTTAATAGATTAAATAGAACACTTATTTATTTGTGATGCACGTTGGCAGCCAACATAATGGGTGCAGTCACCAACGACAAGGTTTAACATTAATCGATCCCCAAATTGTATTGTTGCTTGAGTTGACTTTATGTGTGAGCATCGTTACCATGGCAAATTGTAATTTGTATTGAAAATATAAAACGTCATGTGTCATGATCTGGTGTGCTCCTAACCTAACGCTCACAGGCATACACCAATACAATAATCCCAGGCTTCTTGTAGAAATCTTGTTGTTGATTATATCTACGGGTCTTAACCATTGTCAACATGTTGATCCGAGGGCTTTTAAATTGGTTTTATAGAATGTTCTCATAAAACCTAATAAACAGTTCTTTCGTCGAGTCATGAGACTGCTGCCATCAAACTCACTCTTCTGGTACCATTGTAGCTTCTCTCAGAAGCAGGAGCAAGTTGTCCCGAGTGTCTCCTTCATTCTTATTTCGTTTTGTAATCTTAAGCACAAATATTCATCCTGTCCTGTTTTTCAACTTCTTTCTTTAACCTCCTTTCTGTCCGTCAGCTCCTGTTTTTCATTGCGCTGACTTGCTGGCTCCTAGCTTCCGCCCCTCTACATGGCCAGGAGGTGTGTATGCTGACCTTTAGTGACCTCCTGAGCTCACCCAGGTTCCTCTGTTGAGAGGCAGAGTGAGGAGAGAAGAGAGTGGACAGACTATAGAAACCATACAGGCAGTTTGGATTTGTCACTAGACGGAGATCAGTCACAAAAGCCTTTTTCAGAGGTGACCTGCGGATAAAATCCCAAGAATTGGCTACAGAGTTTGTCTTGCACACATGCACAACACAGTGGGAGTTTCTCTGCACAGACGCGTACAAAACAGCAACAAATCCTCCGCATTATTCAGGCGAGTGGTGGACCAGCAGCAGGCAGAGGCAGGAAGTGACGTAATAACTCCACTGCAGAGATCACATGATTTTGACATGACAACACGCAGACATCGTCGTCAGCTCTTATTACAACAAACTCTCTTGAAATCTTCACCGGTGTCTTCTACGTGTATAACACCGCCTTTTCACCGGGAGATATTTGTTTTAGTTTTTTTATTTTTGCGTCTGTCGCACATTACAAGCATCATCACCCCACCCACTTGAGCATGCTGAATCCAGTGGGAGGTCCTGTGCTGTGTTCATATATCGGATTCTACTGGATTTCTACGGACATTATATCAGGTGGAGAAAGTCCACAGAGACGGCCGTGCGTCTCACTCTGCCATTTGCCTTCACACATACACCGCCTCCTTAGAAAATGTGGAAGAACTGCGGAGTTCAGTCAATGTCTGAAAGCAGCTAAGGTTTGAATTTGATCTCTAACTAGAGAGCAGGATGCAAAATGGAGCTACAAGTAAAATGGGCACTTGCCTGATGAAGCGCTTAGCATTTCTGCCATCTCAGTCTCCTGTTCCCTTTCTTTTTGCTCTCTCGTTCTACTACAGAGCCTCTCTGGTGGGTATCATTGGAGAGAGAATTGCATGCTGGGAGGCCATGTGGGGAGCTGTGTGGGGTTGGTCAGCAGAGGGGAGGAGGGGGCACGGCTGTGTTGCAGCTCCAGGCCCCTGCTGCCTGCCATCTCTCCTCGGTGCTTTCAGGTCTTTTAGAGTTTGCTCGGCTGGTTACTGCCGCTTCATAAAACCTGAATGGCTGAAACACAAAGCCAGACAGGAGAGGGGTCATGGCTGAACTTGAACCTCAGCTCCAGCCAAGCAGCCACTGGCAAACCAAGAAACCCCACTCAGACAAGTTGCAAATTCCAACCATCCCTCCTGCCGTCTACCTCTGCCAGCTTACCTCACACTGATAGCAACACTCTTTTACTTTTGATGCATCAACTCACATCTTATTAAGTTCCCTTTCTTTTACACACACATATACACAGATCAGCCACAGCATTATAACCGCTAACTGTTCTAATGTTGTTGCTGATGTATCATTACTCAGACTGTAAGGATTCTGCATGGTGAGAGACCAAAATAAAAAACATTGTGCCTTGTGATTTGAATCGTTTGACTTTCATGGGGCAGCCCTGATAATTAATAACAATGGTTTAATACATCAAATATCACCTGTGGCCATAATGGTCTTAATGCTTTTACTTTATTAAAAGACTTAGTCCTTGTGGATCTGGGAACATGTTATACATTTGCACCTTTATTCTCTGCTCTGTTAAATATAAGTTAGTTGTTCATAGTTGCATTGACCCTTGTGTTTCTTTTGTTTTGTCTAGGAGTTGGAGAAAGCCCTGTCAGAGCAGGACTTGGACTTCCTTGGGGACCTCATTGCCTGTCTGTTGCAGGGATGCTATCAGCGCACTGACATCATGTAAGTATCAAATCTAACGTCAATATATCATTGTATTTTAAGTTCCCTTTGTCAATAATTTGAGTAAAATACAAAAGTAAAGGTGACAAGTGTTTTGTGTGTAAATGTATGTATAAAAAACAATAACTCACTCAAATATAAGCATGTGTTCAGACAAAAGAATGAGGAAGTTTCCTGGTTGCCGATGCATCATGAGGTAGAAGGAGTGAAAATGGTACAGATCCCTCTGTGCTGATGTCCCTAAATCAGTTCTCAACCTTTTCTGACTTGTATTGTTACATTTTTCGTAGGAGACGTGGGTCAAAGGCTTACCTCTGTCAGGACTAGTACACTGAGTGAGAATGTTATTTCTTAATAGACTCAGATGCACAGTGGAAAAAACCAAATTGATTTATAGCTGCCAAGCTAAAACCTATATTTCCATCGAAGAAAATTAGTCATAGCACCCACCCCTTAAAGAAAGATTGAGTCACTGGCAACATGACTCGCTGAGTAGTCAGAATTAACTCATACTGTGTGAGTCAACATCTGTGGTGAAATCAAGTTTTACTTCCTCTTTGAAATATAGGAACTGCACAGCCCTATAATCTGTATTTCTCTATCTGATCGAATAATAGGAGAAAGTGAGTATGTTGCAGAGGCTGTTATTCAAATATACAACTGCCTCGTCTCACATGGGGCTTCCCCGTGTATCCCCCTCCTGCTCTAGACCGTAATTAGAAAGTAGCATACCGCCACTTAAGTGATAAACAGAGAGGCTGGAATGATACAGTTTTCTTGTCCAGGGAGCCGCTAACAGGACGACAACCTGCTTTATTGGACTGGACAGGCACTGGCATCCTGGGGGTGGCTGCTCAGCATTGGCCTTTCACAGGGCTGCCCTTTTCATCCACACATGTTAAACGCTCTGCCGGAGCAGTTGGGGGAGGAGGGAGGGAGGATGCTGGAGAGAGAATGAGGGATAGAAAAGAAAAGATGGGAAGTGAGAAGGGGAGGCTTTGTGAAAAGCGCACACTGCTCTTTCAAGATAGGCCATATGTTCTGTCCCATTTTCTCTTTGCTGTTACGTAGATGCTCACCACTGCCCCGAGCACTTGTTCTGTTAATCAGAGCTTGAACTGAAAGTTACAGGTTAATCTGTTAGACCTGAACCAGAACCCGCATTTACTTATCAGCTCACTTGAAAGAAACTCCATCTCAATGAGGTTGTTTGAACTTTGTTTCGTTTGAACTTTGTTTCTAAACCAATCTGTTACAATGGTGCGTGAGTTGATATTGAAACCTAGTGTTGGCTTTTCAATGTGCGCACAGCATTTGCAATTGAATTGGGTTGATTTATCTGAACTGACAGATCCCAATGAACCAAAAAAAAACCTCTGTCTGTGTGGATTCTTTGTTATTGTTTAAAATGAACTTTAACCATCCTAATTTGAAGTTAGTAGATTGTTATGTTCATGATGACTTTATAACAGTAATTTCTTTTATCAAGTTAATTCAGTTTTATTTATATAGCTCCATGATAAGTCATCTCAGGGCTCTTAGTAGCCGTAGACAGTACTTTTTATAATATTATTTACAGAGACTCCACATTTCTCTATGAGCTAGAACTCAGTGGCAGTGACAAGAAGAAACCTTGAGCTGAACGGGGCTCTGGGTGGGTGCTTGCCTCAATGTTTGGGTCAAATAAAAATGAATACAAATATCCGAAGACCTAAAATAACAACAAGATGTTTTAATCACATTTAAGTGATATTTATTTGCATATCGTATCAAGCACACTGAATGAGCCTACTATTTAACTTGTCATCAACAGTACTGCTTCAAAAAAAACACTCTACACTAAAAAAAT